CTGATGATCTAGTTCTACCTCACTGCACAGCAGAAAGAGACATGGCAACACCATGAACAAAACAGACTGTGGCATTCAAAATGCTTATGTGTTAGCCAATATAAGGCTCCTGAGCTACAGGTGTGGGTATGGTCTGGATGACTGTCAGCTGTAAGAAGAGCTGAGGAAATGACTTGAGTATAGCCAGCCAGTGTTAGTGTTATATGGACAAGGCTAGTAACAGCTTTGCTGTTATCTTCAGGAGGATCCGTCCCATCTTCACCATGTACTGAGCCACATGGATGGTTCTTCTGTGTTGGGATTCCTAACTTTGCAGCAAAACCACTTCAGTAAACAAGACAAAAAGCATGACACCCCTCTGTGGGTGTCCTGTTCCCTGGAGCTTGGGTAGCTCTAAACCTTTCTCATCATAACAAACCATTCCCTTCTTTCCATTGCAGCCTGGAAGATAAATGAAGGGAAAACCAGCCATGCCCAGGGGAAGAAAATCCACTAGAAGTTTTGAATATAATTTAAATATTAATGTCAGTGTACCATACAAGAAACACTGCTCTAAGCTATATACATCTGACTCCCTTTCCATTTTTTAAAGATCTCCTTTAGGCCAGCTGACTGCAATATATTTTAATAAGAGCCACGTGTTGTCAGACACTTACCGTTCAAGAAATAGTGCTGAAGAACCCATCAACTCTAATAAGCAAGAAAGTCTTCTTATGTGATGGGAATAATTTATTAAGATGGAGAGGAAGCTGAAGACAATTTTAGCTATTGCTTTTAAAACCCTCTAGTTTTAGAAGTAATTGTTGCTGGAGCAGAAGCAATATTTTAAAACCTGTAAAATTTTCTTCCCCATGTTTTCATGCTCTCCTGCTATACAGACTGGAGGGAGAAGTTACCAGGGATCAGGGCACATCAAAAAAGACTATCTACATATCTCCTGCTCCCTCTTTAGGAAACCATCTACATATCTCCTGCTCTCTCTCCTTATACCAGTGATTGAATTCTGCCTCTTAGAGAATCTAAGCCTCTCCCATGTTTCATGGCTAACTGTTAGAGAAATTAAATTGCTACTGTAGCTGCTAGCTCCTCCTTCTTCATTTTCACTCCCAGTTGCTGCTCAGGGGTGGGATGAACATGGGTGAATGCATGCATTCATCCTCATAGTCATAAAGGCTATTTAAAAGAGATACAGGGGTGCCATACTTGAACCACACCATTTCTCATGCCATGAACAAGACTGCCAAACCAGATGGCCAGGTCATTCTGAGAAGCAGCTGCAGCTGGTGATTTGAGAGCAGTGGATAAGGTAGCATTTATGTTTACTTAGCTGGTCCCTCAGAATACCACTGCTAGGAGCAAAACACTCTGGGATTTCCTGCTGTATAGTGAAGGGAAGAAGGCAGACAAGAAGAAGTGTATTCATTGTTTTAATTGGAAAGTTCTTTGCATCCTAAAAATGGACAGTATATAGATTCACTTATGGGAAGATGTGCCTTCCAAGATCAGTAGGAGAAACAAACTGTTGTGGATTTCCTCTGTTATCAATGAACTATTAATCATATTTGGAGTGATATTCCCAGCCTGTGCATAGCAGATACGGTGTCCAGTTGCCACTTGGACTTCTGAGAACCCACTCTGTTGTGGCAAGCACAGGCCATGATTAGTGCTAACCGTACCGTGAAATGGTTGCAAGCTGAATTAAAACATGTCATATAGATAGCCACTAATGTGATTGTTTTGGGTTTTGGGGAAGTGAGTGGAGAAAAGATCAAATACAGCACAAGGGAATCCCTGAAAGACAGAAAGACCCAACCATTTCTATCTCCCAGCTGGAAAGTTGAGTTGTTGAAAGGAGACTGTGGTTTTAAGGAAACTCACTGGATAAAATCTGACAGGGTGATAAAAATAGTTTGTATTTTTATTCCATCTGCAGCAGCACCCATGTTATTCCCAGCTTGGTCATGACTTAGGTCTCAGCCTCTGTCTGCCTCCTTATGGGAGGTCATTACTTTGTGTCAGCTGTCTCAGAGTCACAGATGTGGCTGCTAGCCTGCTGCAGCAATTTTTCATGGCAGCATTCAAATTCAGTGATATTTCTTTCCCTTTATCTGTGTGACCCACTCCTACATCTTCATCTACTCTTTGCCCTACTTTTCACAGCAAATGTCTTTAAAGACCAATACAGTACCCAATGGCATCACCTGGGGCTAACCTCAGAGGTAGCTGAATCAAACTGTTAGGGTAGGATTCACCATGTCTAATTTCAGACGTCTGCAAGGAAGTATTTTATGACTCAGTGTGTTGCCTAGGGTACTTTTTACAGTCACAAAGAGAAATAAACACTTTTAGGACATGATCTGTTTCACTCATTTTAGATGGCTACATTACACTGAGGTAACTACCACTCTGTAAAGGGAGGCTATGCACCCTGACATCTAAATCAGAGGAAGATGCCCACATCTGGTCAGCTACATCCCACCCATTGTGACTATAGGGAGAAAGTCTGTCATACGTGCTCACATTCAGAATTTACATTGTTCAAAGTGCTCCACTGAAACCACTAAGACTCTTCACATGATGAGGTGGTATTCAGTGTTATGTGGTTCTGAGTTAGATCCATGAAGAAATCAGAAACTGTAAGTGCAAGGAATACTTAGAACAAAATTAATCTTGTACAAGAGCATCTTCAGTACGTGAAAACCCAGCTTCCACTCATGGCTTCTGTCAGATGTCTCAAGGCCCCTGTGAAATAATGGTCCATGCAACAAGGGAAAAGATAAACAAACAAACACACTAATATTTGCTAGGAAATGTGGATGTAATTGTTTTTACTAAAGCATGAACAAAAGTTTTGCTGAAGTTTAAATCTACAGTTAGTGTCTAAAAGACCCTTAGTGACTAAAGAGTACCTTACTCAGCAAGACTGCAGCTTGAAGTTACCAGCAGCTGGTTGCCTAAAAATTGACTAGAAGCAAATATGAAAATAGATAATTTATTTTAATTGCATGGAGCAAAAATAATTTTATGTGAATCAGTTGAGTTTCTTGAAATTCTTCCATTTCTTAAATTATGAAGTGATATTTCTAACAATAGTATTTGTAAAAGAATAGGTAATTTTGCTGTGAATCTGCCTGGAAGGTTAACAGGAAAATATACGTATACAGAATTTGGCAGGGCAGAAATTTTCTATCTTCCACGAATCCTATTATTTCGCTTGCATCTGATCAGAAAGAAAAAGCCACAGATGACAGAATTGACTGAAAATTCACATCTTCCAGTAGTTTTATGGAATGTTTCTAGATGCTTATAAATCTGAGCATCACATCAACGTTTTAAAAGTGGGGATTTTGATGCTAGTATGTAATTGTTGGTTCATTCTGGCTTGTGGCACCAGATAGTAGTGATACACTCTGTTCTAAATAACGTCGCCTTCTCTCCATCTTGATTTTTTTTTCTGCTGTAATTTTTGTACTCCTGTTTATTAATTGTGTGGAATCATCAATATTCTAAGCCCTGAATAAACATGCCATTTATTTATACAGTGGGCCTGATTTTGTACTATTTCTCACCTGAATGTGATGCAGTTTCTTTGCAATGGAGGGAACCTGCAAATGACACAGTCACCCAGGGCAGCTCCCCAGGCAGGGCACGCTGTTCTCTCCTGCCCACATGAATGTGCCTCACAATACAAAGGGGAAAGATGGACAGTCCATACATGCTGCACACTAGCTGTTGATCAGATCATGGAAGACAAGGCATAGATGACAGTAAATTAGAGATGAGTTTGTTTCCTGTGGAGTGACACTGCACAGGATACAGTCTTGACAACTGCAGCATGAGACTCTTCAGGACACAATGGTATCAATTTTTAGAGATACCTGTGCTCTGCTCTGATTCCTTGATGCTGCATTGGCAAGGACCATGCTGTCTCTGTTGGATTTTCTGCAGTGGTGCCAAGCACAGAGTCCCAGAGCCACCACACCCTCCTTCAGCCCCAGACATGGGGAACCATGTGCACCGCTGAGTCAGCCACCAACTTTGGCCTTTAGCAAAAGCCCACAAAATTAAAGGGCTCTCTGCTGTGTTGACAGCTGGATCCGTTTTGGTTATGACTGCCCTCCAGCATCACACTGCTTTTCTGAGTATTCCGACTAGATGACGCTAAGCAAAACTCAGCTGAATTTTTAAGACTGCAAACAGCTTTTTGAAACAAGAGTGCCCCTGCCACACACCCCTGGGTAGCGACCATCATTCATTCTCAAAAGGCAGCTTCAAACAGAACACCATCTATGTTTGATACACCCTTTCTAAACATTAGGGCTTATTCTTGGATGAACACAATACCCTGGGGCTGTATTAAAGAACTCATTGTTAGAGCCTGCAGGCCTCAATAAATATGTCACAGTGTTCAGCTTGTGATTTAAAAAGAAATAATGTTAGCCATATAGACAAAAGTAACAAAAAACTGCCTCACACTTCATCTGCCCATTATGAACACCCTGCAGTGAGACTGGAGAAAGGGTACCATCCAGCCTGGCTGTTTGGGAGTTCTCTGTAAAGGACACCCATACAGAAATCACTGTGTAATGCTCGGTGTTGCACTCTACTGCTCTGAGTGCCCAAGTATATGGGGAGGAGTGACACAGCTGCTCCTTCCCCACCAGTGAATCTTCCTGTGGAGATTCATGCTGAAGCTCTCTTTCTCCATCTTTGACGTCTGCAGGAAGCCAGTGTGGGAGGTCTTGGTGTGCTGCAGAAGAACACGCCTGCTGTCTGCAGCAGGCTGTACTCAGCATTTATTTCTTGAACTACGTCTGGCTTTTGTTCAGCCAGATCCCTGCCTGGTGGAGACAGGCATGTGGATGTGAGGGATAGGGCTGAAAATCAATTGCAGCAAAGTTTGCTAGGGAGAGCACTGCCACAGGAAAAAGGGAAAACACACGAAAGATGTAGGGAAGTAGTAGAGTGTTTACTGAGAGAAAACCACTGACATTCTCAGGTGGGCTAGAGGCCTTTCTAAATTGTTCACAGCCTCTAAATACTGGTACCAATAGCCAAAAGGCAAAGACAGTTATCAGACCGTGACCGAGGAATGAGATCGAAGTCTTCAGACCCAACAGATAAAACTTCTTGTAGTCTGGAGTGATCTGAAAAAAAAGGACCAGCCAGTCTTGGAGAGAGCAGCTTACCTGCTTATACACACTGGAGAACATCATATTAATGCTTTACTGACTTCTCTGCTCATCTTCGAACACTAAGCCTTTTGGGTCTCACATCTCAGTTTAATAGATTCTGTAATAACAAAGAAAGAGACATACTGTGAGAACCATTGTCATCTATCTCCTAGGTCAAAAGGGCAAAAGTTGCTTATGTTCTTTGCAGTAAGGCATGGATTTTGCAGGAGATGAGAATGGTCCCATATGGAGTGACCTTCAGAAAGAAACTCTTTTCTTTTGCCTGCCTCAATGAAGAAAAGAAAAATAAAGGAAGAAACAGAAAGGATGAAGGAGGGAAGGAGGGAAGGAGGGAAGGAGGAAGGAAGGAAGGAAGGAAGGAAGGAAGGAAGGAAGGAAGGAAGGAAGGAAGGAAGGAAGGAAGGAAGGAAGGAAGGAAGGAAGGAAGGAAGGAAGGATATGAAAATTTAAAAAGAAAAAGGAAAAAGAAAGAAAAGAAAAAGAAAGGAAGAGAAAAAGGAAAGGAAAAAATAAAGGAGACTGGAGACTAATAATGTGAGAGAACTGGAGAGAAAAAGGTGAGAGGGAAGATGAATAAGTTATAATAAAAACATAAGGAAAAAAGCCTGTAAACATGATTACTGAAACTACATACAAACTTAACAGCTTATATAGAGTTTTCAATACACATATAAGTCCAATTAAAAACTAGACAAGTAACCTATTCCAGAATGAAGAAGAAATTGAAAGATAGTTTCTTCGCTGATGGATAGAATGCTATACCAATTCCTCTTTTCCTCAGCTATTCCAGAAACTTAAATTACAGTCAATTGCTTGCACTCATTTGCACTCCTTTGCATTGTAAAACAGGAGAAGGACTTTACCATATAGACAAGGGAAGAACTTTAGGCCACTCTGAAATTTTGCCATCTCTAGTGAAGAAAGGTTTAAATAGTGACAGAAGCTTTACAGCACAACACAGACAGAGAAACAAGACACTCCATCTTGGGGAGATGACACATACCAACTTTGAGGCTTGTTATTGATGTCCTAGCTGATACAACCACACCAGATTATCCTGGCAGGAACGGTAGCATGCAGCACAGAAGGTGCAAACAGTCATTTTAACTCACCATAGGAATACATGCACTCTCACACAACGTGTTTTGAGGACATTATTAGGAGGAAGAAACACCTATCAGCAAAAGAGTGGTAAAAACTGTTTGTAGCATTCTCATAAAAAAAAAATAATAAAAAAAAAAAATGGTACTTCTTTTGAAAACAGAAGTTCAGATGGGTATTTATTGGGCACACACCTATTTAAAATAATGATTTGGCTGCCAAAGCATGACACCAAAGAAAATAGAAGGAATAAAGTCAAGAACTTTTAAACTAAAGTCCTTGAAAAGTAAGAACTTATGAAATCACAGTGAATCTCTGTAAATGTCATCTAAATGTTATTTTTTGCCAAAGAAAAAGCACAATAGCGTCAAGGAAAAGCATGCATGTTTTAAAGAGAAAAACAAAAACCATCCAAAACACCCCAAACCCTAAGCAATCCTGGAATACAATTACTAAGAAACTTGTATATATGCTCCCAATGAGCTGTATTTACTAGTCACTGGGTGATTATATTTCCTCAAATAAATAAGTTGTATATGTCTGACTTTCTATCACTCCATAAAAACAAAGTTATGTAAAAGCTAGTTATTTGCAGCATAACCTTTCTAAAGAAACCTCAGCTGATATCAGGTAATTATTTGTCACCCGAATCTAATACTTTCTGCCCTGTGCCAAGTAATTTTCATGGGATCTGCACGGTGTGATGTGGATCAGAAATACCTTCACCATCCGTCACTGCTCAAAATCACTGGGGCTGGATCCATCTGCCTGTGTTTACCCAGCAACCAAAGTCGCGTTGCTAATGTGAAGGTCGCCCCATGTGAACCCATCAATCAGCGAGCTGGCGTTTTCAGCCCCATACGGATATCAGAAGTAGGTTCAAGGGAAGAGCTTAACCCTTCCCTGTTTTAAATGGCTTTACACATCTATCCTTCATAAGAGAAATTTTCAAAATTAAATCCAAAGTGACTTTCAGCATACGGCTTAAGAGCCATACCTACAAGATGCACCTGTGACCTGCACATCCAAAACTGTAATTTTTTTAGTGAACACTTCACAATATAGATAGTAATATTATAGCTAATTGAACTGAAACTGCTGTATTTAAATTTTAAGAAAATTCCTTCTACTGTACAGTCAGCTCTACACTGACTACCAGCTATACCGAAAATATAATTGAATTATTTCAAGTCAAAACACGTTACATTTAATGACAAATAGGTTTCACTTTCTGTCAGGTTAAAGTGGTTCTTGTATTTTTATATCCTTAATTTGACTTTTTGTAGGTCTATATCAAGATTATAAATATAGTCAACTGCTCAGTCATAGTATAGGCTAATGTGCTGTTTGTTTTGTATAGACCTGTATCTGTGATTAAAGCTAGCCACATTCATAAAAAATAAAAAATAAATAAAAAATCTATTTCTAAATTTTCTTCAGACAGACTTGGATTTCTATTAGTTTCTTTCTTGCCTGAAATTATTAAATAGATGCTTTGTCCAAGCTTTCCTCAGACTGTAAGCTCTTCACAACTGACCTACAATGACTGATCCAGCCATCCCATATTCCCAGTACCAGACCTGAGAGAATCATGTGTGTGTTGGAGCCCTGAACAAAGAAGCAAAGATTTTGAAATTGGTACATACTACAAAGATTCACAATTGCAAGACCTGAAATAGTTTATCCTGGTGCTTGTGGTAAATAAACCTGTCTAAAATAGATTAGATCTTTGTGTACAACTGAAGTGAATCCACCTCTGGGCAAGAGTTCATAGCATTTTAATTTTCCCTGATATAAGAGGCCGGAGAGTGAAAAATATCAACTTAAACTGAGGGAGTTAATGTTAATTAGGGTCAGTCTACCTGCTTTAATTGGAACCTGGCCTGCATGTGGGCTTTACCAATTTTTTTCCCATGAAAAATATACTCTGAACCACTCAGTTCAACAATTGAGATAATGCAGATTATAGCTGGAGCTATTAAAAGCTGGTCTTTTAAAAAGTTCATCTCTGTTGTGTTGTTCAACTCTCTCTGTGGGAGACAGTTACCTATGAAATAATATATAGCATCTCTATATATGTCCTAGATTATGTCACTGCTTATTTATTTTTTGGCTACTTTCACTTTTTAATAAAACTTTTTAAAAACGTGATCTTAACCAATATTTAAGTACAAAATGGAGGGATAGATTAAAAGGCACCTTAATTTAAAAAAAAACAGCGGTATTTTCAGGTGAAGTAATTTAGTGAAAAATTCCTAGAAATAAGTGTTGTATGACATGTTTTTGCAGTGATTGCCCTACTGAATTTGCCGTTTGTATTTGAGACCATTAGTTTACATGGATTCTTGTCTGTATCATTCCTCTAACGCCAATAGTGTTAGAGGGGAATGGTTTTGGCTTCTTAGGTGTTTTGTTGCTTACACAAAATCCAGTGACAAGTCATCAGAATGCTTGTGATGAGACAGTGGTCTCAGCAGCTTTCTGCAGTGACAGGAATGACATTGTGAGGTGCTAACACAAGTCAGTGATTAATGAGATAAAAGAACTGAGATAGATTAGGTTGGATTAGGCATACATATGCTTTGTTTAAATTAAAACAGTCACACAGAGAAAAAAATGTTGTTTTTTTGCCTTGCCAGATAGACCAAGCTATTCGAAGTCACTGTCTGGCTTTTCAGTGGCAGTGAGCTTTCATGTGAAAGGATCCAGATTGTCATCCAAAGACTCACTCAGAGAAGTCTTATGTAGCCTGGCAAATTATTGTCTCTACATCTGAACTCTTTCTGTCTACTGCCAGTATAATATCTGAAGCTTCAGCAGTACAAACAGATAAAGGAAACAGCAGCACAGATTGTCATGCAATGCTGCTTTTTGCATACAGCTCCAACAGATTCAAACATTATTTGTGGGTAAGTATTCACTGATGTGGCATTCCCAGTGGCAATCAGAAAACCCTGATGTGGTTTTCATGTCCCCATGTGTTCATATCTAGGGCTAGTAGCACAACAGTTTTTGTGCTTAATGCAGAGGATCATTAAGAGATCATGCCAGATTATGTCAGAAATCGAAAAATCTGAATTCTCCTGCCAGATCCCTTTCATCTCATTCTGTGATGGCCAGTACACCACTTACTTTCTGTGACTTAGGCCAAATTGCATGTTACTCTTGTGTTGGGATTTAAAATCAGAGAACCCATGCAAGCAGGCACTCCTGGTCATGTAAAAATGTGATTTATACCATGTTAACTCAAGGTAATAAAAAAATTTTGTTTGTTTGTTTGTTTTGTTTTGTTTTGTTTTGTTTTTAATGAATAAATATTAATCAGTTGAGAATAATCCATGCTGTGGAAGCACCAGCAACTCAGCATACTAGTAAAACCAACCGAAATTCAAGTAGTGATACAGACGTACTCACTGTACCTCATTTTTGTGTTGAAAAAGGTCTACAATGCTTAGCAGATTTTGCAGTTTGTAGGAACCTGTGGAAAGGATTGTAGGAATTTATGGCTATGTGTTACCATGCATTGGAACATCAAGGAGTGTCCTCCTTGTAGACTTCTCCAGTCTTTCCTTCCCACTACAATAGCTCTCTTACAAGACAGACTCTCCTATTAGCACATTGATCTACTTCCATAATGGCAGTTCTATGAAAGCATGGTTTAAGCCACCTCTTCCCCCATGCAACAAAATGCAGTAGTAGTTGGGAATTCCTGTGATTACTGTGGACACTTTAATTTGAAACACTACAAGATGTTATTAAAAAAAAAAAAAAGTTCTGTGTTTTCTTTTTTGTTCTAAATTATACTCTCCCCTTTCCTCTCAGTGCTTAAATGGCAAGTGACTTCAGTGGAATTGATAAGCACTATGGAAGATTAGTGTATTGCCTCAGATGTAGTTTCTCACATGAGCAAGAGCAGTGGAATTTGGCCTTTAGATACTTTTTTCTTTGCCTAGTTCAAGGTTTTGGCAAACCATTGTGAAGACAGACCCTTCATATCCAACAAGTTGTAATACAACGTAGTTTGATACCTCACAAAATACTGAGAGGCTTGTTCACAGAAACCTGGCTCAGCTAGAGGAAGCAGCACATCAGTAAGCACCTTTTATCTGTACCATGATTAATACAAAGGAGTTCTTGGATGTGGACAGGATCACACCTGCTCTTTCAGTGCAAAGACCCCACTGACAAGGCTGTGTGTGAAAGTTGGCAACCAGTCAGTGCCATGTGTCTGGACCAAAGCACTGATATGCTGCTAACACTTCAGCAAAGGTCTCCAAAGTATTTTAGCACAACTAGAAGGAAAAGAAAAAAAAAAAAAGTATTTGCAAATGCACAACTTCTGAGCTCCATCTCACTGGTGGTGTGGTCAGAAGATATACAGAGCAGTCCAAAGTGCATCTTCTTGGATAGATGCACATGTCCAGAGTGCATCAAAGAATGAATGAAAAATGAACTCCATCTTCTTCTGCTCCAGCACCTGAATTTTAACCTGGAGCTCTTCACTGCCCTTGATTACCCCTTTCCTGGACAGCTGTGATGGTCACTGTGGGAGCAGCAAGAGATGCCTGGGATGGGAATTGCACTGTGGTTCATCAGATCAGTATGGAGGAACCTCAGCAAAGATGCAGGACAGAAGTAGAGCAAGATGCTGCTATCTCCCTAGTCTCACTATGCCCTTTGCAGTCTGGAGGGAAGAGGGCAGCAAAGGGAAGAGAGAGAGAGAGAGAAAGAGAGAGAGAGAGAAAGAGAGAGAGAGAGCAAAAGGAGAATTTAGGAATGAATTAGTTAAAAAGTTACTCTCCATGTGAACCTGTCAATCTTCCATAGAGGATTAGGCCCACTACAGCGAGGGAACCTAGGCACAAACACACACTCACACACACACACACATTCACATGGTATCACTAAGGCCTTGCAGTTAATTATAGCTCTGAAATCTGACAGAGAAAAATTAGAGGGGAGGAGGACAGCTGCAGGATCCTGGGGTGTAGGGTCTGATTTCCAAGTAATCTGTGGCCCACCAAAGATCTTCACTTTGGAAAAATAAAAGTTCAGCCATTTCCAGTTCCTGCCTGCTGCTTTTCCATTGCCTCATGTGTGTTGTGAGCCTCTGAGCTCCTAGCAGGGTCCCATAGCAGCAACCTAGCCCATGCTAAGCAAGGGTGTCTTGTGCCAATGAAAAAATAAACAGGAATGGGGACTGCTCAGACCTCTTTCTTTTCTTTATAACTTGGTTTTCTTTCTATCTTGTTGCAGGAGAGGAGTCAGGAAGACTAGTTTCTTTTTTTTCCTAGCTCTGCCTGAAAATCTCTCCTAAACATGGAATTAAAATAAGGTTGGCAAGATCTTTTTCAGATCATGTGTCATTTGGCTTTTCTGGCCTCCACAGCCAGAGCCTTCAGAAACAATCCTGTTGATCCTTTGTTTGGAAAATAAGGAGAGTACAAGGTCCATGTATCGCATCTGTCTGCCTTTGCAGCATGGGAGACTTCAGTGGGTCTTCCTGCCCATCCTGACCTTGCTTACCTGTTTACACGTAATGATCCCATACCAAAATAACAGAGACCTCATAAGGCAGTTGCAACATGAGCTGGAAGGCTGAGTGCAAAGATTACACAAAGCCAGGGTCACATTGTTTAAGGCTGCTATCTATGGTCTGGGTCACAGTGGTCTGAGAGTTACTGCAATGTACGCAGGCAAATAATAACACCACCGAGGTCTAAAGTACAGTCAGGAGTCAGGACAGGGTCCTCACCGCATGGTCAACAGCATTGTTGGATACAATGGTAACTTTTAATGTATCTTGGAAGAAATAA